CGCCGCCTCCTCGGCGCTCGCGCCGGCTGCTCCGCCGTAAATGACTCGAGAGAGACACACACATTCGCTCTCGCCGGCCTCCTCCCCCGTCCGGGACTCAGTGCCCACCCGGGCAGGAGCGGGCGCCGAGCTGGGCGCCGAGCAGGGCGCGCTCGCTCCCCTCCCCTCCCGATTCCCCGTGGTCACGTGGCCCCGGAGCGCGCGGCCCACGGCTCGCGCACCACGGAGACTCCCCCTCCCTCCAGGTCCCCCCCCCTCTGTCCACGTGTCCATTCCGCATTCTCAGCCTGGGGGCGCGCGCGGCTCCTTAATGAGACGCGGGCAAGGGCCGACCTAGCGATTCCGCTCGCCCCTGCTTTATGTTTCATTTTTCCTCCCCAACACAAGCTAGCGCTGGGACCCGAGGGGGGCCGGCCGGCTGCCGCGGCGGCTGCGTTGCTCCCGGGTAGACGCCACCGCAGCCACTCATGTCCTTTTTTAAAAAGGATGCGCGCTCTCTGCTGCCAGGCGCCGGAGGTGTTTTGCAGCCGCTCTGCCAGAGGCGCGGGTAGGGGACACCCTACCCCCACCCCCGGAGTCTGCCTGGGGCTCTCGGGGCTCCGGGTGGGAATCAGCCTAACTGTCGCGCCCAGCTCCTCTCGCGCCGCGCGGGAGCTCTCGGGCTCAGCTTTGTGCGGGGATGAGTCTAGGGTTCAGCGGGAGACCCAGTCCGCTTCGGAGGAAGGCAGATGGAGAGGAGGGGACGTTCCTTCCTACAGGTTGTTTTGCAAGCCTTTAAAGGGGCATGGGGAGGGGCAGGGAACTGCCCCTCTTGCACACTGACCTAGGCACCTGCTGATGAGGGGCACGGGGTTCGTTCCCACTGTCAGGCCCATTCCATTAAAGCGCAACCTAGATCAGACTCGACAAGCCAACCACCAACCAGGCATTGGATCAATGGTAATGATTTTATAGCATCAGTGGGTTTCACTCTCCCACTCCCGGAGGCCAGGTCTCAATCCCACCCTGCTCTCTAGAGAGACAGGCTCTTCAATCCCACGGACATAGCTCTTATGGGGGGGGGGAGACTATGAATCTTGGGGGTCACCTCTCTATATACCTCTGCACCCAACCAGATCGAGAGTGTGGGGCCGGGTAAGTCCGAGCAAGGACAGAAGGGGTGTTCAACCCCCTCCCCCATCCACCTGACTCGGTCCTACTACTCTTAACTTGTGTTTCCTTTTCATCCAGGAAAATGACGTTTTGTTTTTGGAAAACGGGCTTGAAGCATTCCTGGAAGCCTTCCTTCTCCCTGGCTGCTGGCTGTCGCTGCCTCAGCTTGGTAGTGGGGCCTACTAAGAGCCTGCTCAGGCCTCTCCCCCACCCCCACATCTGTCTGGACTTTAGAGGTGCAGTGTGGGGAGGGCAGGCTGGGCTCTTGGAGGCCCTGGGGATGGAAGGTGCTGGAGTCGTCAAAGAAGATGATTCTCATTAGGACCCTAATGCCTGATGGCAATTAATGTCACCCAAGGGCTTATGAACCATTCCACTGAGAGGCAAGCCAGCAATCAGGCTGTGTGTGTGGGAGAAAGCAGGAGACAACCAGCTCCTGAGCAGGGGACAGCTCCAGGAGGGGAAAGGAGGGGGCAGGGAGGTCCTTCCACCCCTGCCCACTTGCCTGATTGAAAGGGACAGAGGGCCTGAGGATGGCCAGAGGGAAGAGACAAGCCTGCTTTTCTGAGCCCAGGACCCACCTTCTCCCTGTGATATGGACCAAGCTTCCCTTCTCCACAAATGTTTGCAGTTGATGCTGAAGTCTGAGGGTCTGCAATTTCAGCCCACTCTCCCAGCTGTCTCTGGAAACTGAGCACAGTATCTGGTCAGAGTGTACAGGGACTCAAGATGCTGGGTTTCTTCTCTCTGCCCCATGATAGCTTTTAGGTGATGGGAAGATGGACCTCCCTTTGCCAGCTCAGTTTCCCCTCCTTCTCCTTCCCCCACTCCCTGTCTGTCTCTTTCCCTCCCATTCACAACAGTACCGTGAATATCCAGCATCGCAGGCATTGTAGGTACAACAGTCGGCAAGACAGGACTAGCCCTTGTCCTCATGGTACTTATATTCTAGAAGGGAAGGCAGACACTAGACTTGCAGGTGATTACAGCTGTGGTGGTAGGTGGCGTCCTTACAGAGAAGACAGAGACCCATGGTCGGGAAGGGCAGCCCGGTATCTCAAGAGAATACAATTTCAGCCCCAGTTTCCTCCCATACTTCCTACATGTATCTCCCCTTCATGAACTGGGAGTCTTCTGTGGGGTCAGCATGTCTGATTGTCCTCTGATCGTTTAAATGCCAAATGTCTCTTCTCCCTGCCTCAGAGAAGTGAATGGTAGCTGATGGCCCACCTGGGGAATAAATACCATATGACTCCAACTCCAGTGCCTATGGGCCAGTTACTCTTGGCAGTGCCAATTCCGGGGCTCAGGGAGAAAGCATTCGGCACGAGATAGACACAGCCAGTTGCCCTATTTCAGTGCCACATGTCATTTACATTCTCTCTGCCTTTCCTACCACACCCACAGACTGCCCTTGGCCTCATCTGTGAGTCGCAGCCATAGATTCCTAACTGGCAATGCCACTGGAACCTGAATAGGGGGAAGTCAAGGCAGAAACCCCAGGTGGGAGAGATGACCTGGCAGGTGTGTCCTCTTCTGTCCTAAATAAGCACTATCAGCTCAAGGTGGTACTATCAGCTTCAGGTAGTCGTCTCTCCTTTCTGCTGTTCCCATTCTGTTTGGGGCCACGTGTCTTTCTGGACAGAGGATTGGCAGTGGTTGAGGGTTATGTCAATTGCCAGCTTCTGGGTACAGCCCTAGCCTCCTGCCAAGCAGTGCCCTGCATGGTTGCCCATCGGGGACCCTTATAGAAACTGGCAATTACTTCCTCCCCTGCCTGACCTGCCCCCATGGTGGACCTGGGCCATGGTGGACCTGGTGACATCTGCCCTTCAACATGCTCCTCTTTTTCAGGATGCCTGCCAACAGAATAAGATAGGACCAGCCAGTGCCCATGGTGGACCTGGTGACATCTGTCCTTCAACATGCTCCTCTTTTTCAGGATGCCTGCCAACAGAATAAGATAGGACCAGCCAGTGTGGGGCATTGTCTAAGAGGAGGTGTCCCCGGGATCATTCTGGAATCCATGTCTGTCTAAGCAGGGGTGGGCATGGGGGGGGTGCGGTGTACAGAGATTTTTAAGTGAGCTCTCTCATTGTACAGCTGCAAAAACTAAGGTCTGTTAATTCAGTCATTTTACTGAATACTTTGAATTTTTATTGAGCTCTAATTATGTGTGCGGTGTACAGAGATTTTTAAGTGAGCTCTCTCATTGTACAGCTGCAAAAACCAAGGTCTGTTAATTCAGTCATTTTACTGAATACTTTGAATTTTTATTGAGCTCTAATTATGTGTCAAGCACTGTGCTAGGTACTAGAATGCATAGTTGAACAAGACAGGTAAGACTCGGATGATGGAAGTTCAAGAGCTACCACAAACCCATATTGAGAACCTAGTAATACTTAATAGCTAACATTAATGTGTGCCAGGTGCTGTGCTGGGCATTTTGTATGCATTATCTGGGTCCTCACTACAACCCTGTTTAAGTAGATACTATTATTATAGCCATTTTCTAGATGAGAAAACCAAAACACTGAGAAGGTAAGTTTCTTGCTTAGGATCACGCAGCAAGAAAATATCAGGTGACAACTCAAAACCAAATGTATGTGATTCCGTAGCTCAGTTATGTAACCCATGTAACCACTTTTACTCTGATGTGTAAGGGCCTAGGGTTACGTAGATGAATAAGCTACAGTCTCTGGCTGGACACGCTTATAGGCAGTGGGACACCAGGCATAAACAGGCCATTCCATACAGGGAGGGTAGTCCTGTGAAGGAGGCCAGCAGAGGGTCTCTGGGAGCACAGGGGCCTCTGACGAGAGGGTGGTGTTCACTCTGCAGCACTGTACTGAGCGGCTCAGCCTCTTGCCTCTCCTTCCCCAGTACCCAGACTCACACCTACGTGCTGTTAGATATACACCAGTTTAACACACAGTAATGCACGCATGTGGCTATTCTAACAATCACCCAGCCTCTACCCTGCAGCTGGACCGCTTTGCCTCCCCCTGCAGGCTGAGCTCCCAGCTCAGGTTTTAGGACCAATGCTGGTCCGCAGGTCGGGAGAATATCAGCAGCAAAGGGCTGTGTGGCACAGCGGCCAGCATGTATGTTTCCCAGGCAGAGACCTGTGTTCCAGTCTACAAGGCAAGGTGACTGTATTAGCCTGCTAGGGCTGTCATAACAAAATACCACAGACTGGTGGCTTCAACAACAGAAATTTATTTCTCATAGTTCTAGAGTCGAGAAGTCCAAGATCAGGGTGCTGGCAGGGCTGGTTTCCCCTAAGGCCTCTTTCCTTGGCTGGCAGATGAACACCCTCTTGCTGTTCTTCACACGGTCATTTCTCTGTGTTCACAGATCCCTGGTACCTCTTCCTCTTCTTATAAGGACACAAGTCATATTGGATTAGGGCCTCACACTGATGGTCTCATTTCAACTTAATCATCTCTTCAAAGACTTATCTCCAAACACAGTTGCATTCTGAGTTACTTGGGGTGGGGACTTCAACATATGAATTTTGGGGGGACACAATTTAGCTTATAACAGCAACCATATAATTTATCATCCAAACTGAGATATTTTTAAGGATAAAAGGGGGATGCTATTAATGATTACCTTGGTTAGTTGGTTAGAGGAGTGTGGTGCTGATAACACCAAGGTCCAGGGATCAATCCCTGTACTGGCCAGTCGCCAAACAAACAAAAGATTACCTTGCAACATCAGCCTTATATGGACCATTCAGGGCAAACTGAAACATATGGCCCCTTTTAACATTCTGGCCCCAGCCTTGTTTTCAACCACTTCACTTCTCTGAGCCTGTTTCTTCATCTATTAAATGGGGATAATTACACCACCCCCAGGCACTTTTTAAATACTAATAAACGTATGCTGATTGCCTAATAGTGCTGGGCATGAGTGCATACACTGGAAATATTAACCGTTACTGCTGTTGAAACCAAACGGCTCACTATGCTTTACGACGGACGTCTGTATGATTCGGACCCCCACTGCTTTTCCAAACTCGTTTTCTACCACTCTCCCCTTCTGTTTTGTTGCACTGGAGCCACAAAGTCGTCGCTGCTAGGACATGTCAAGCATGTTCCTGCCTCAGGGCCTTTGCACTTGCGTTCTCTCCACCTGGAATGCTTTTCCCTAGATCCTCACTCAGGTTATTGTCCAACTGTCACTTCCTCAGAGACACCAGTCCTGGAGATGTGATATAAAATAACACGACTGTCATTCTGCCCCCATTGCTCTATTCTCTTACCTTACTTTAATTTGATTCATGGCCAGACGCCAAAAAAAAAAAAAAAATGTATTCATAGCAGTTGGCATTTTATTTTATAATGTGTCTATCTGTATCCCCTAATAGAATGTAAGTCCCCCAAGAGTCGATATTCTATGTATGAACCGTTCACCAGTGTATCCCCAGTGTCCAGATCGGTGCCTGGTATATATGCTCAACCAAATAGACTGATGGGATTATTTATCCATGTTCATTTGTTTCTTTAACTGGGCATTTGATTTTGTCCAGTCCCAATAATTGGGTTTTGGATTGGCATTCACATAGAGGTCCCGCCTAGCACTTCACTCCCTGACCTTCCAGAACCTGGGAGTCCACTGCCCAGGCCAGTGATACTTCTCTGGGTTGTCCCAACTCTTACTGTGTCCTCTCCCTGCCGAGGCTGGAGTTCTTCCAGCTTCCATGCCAGCCTCACCCTGACTGGTGGGGCTTAGGCTGGGACCTGAGAACCGTGACTGCTGCCCTTGCTTTCTGCCACCAAGTCCTGCAGGGCAGAGCTCCCCGCTGTGTCTCCTGCTATTCCCCAATGTGACTCCTCTGCCCCAGCCAGGCCAGGCCCATCTCCCTGCCTCTGCCATCACCAGAGATGTTCCTCTTCGTGACAGGCTCATGCCTCTCTCCACACCTCGACTCGTGCTGTGCCCCCACTTCAATAGTGCTCTTCTCTACCAGTTAAAATCCTGCCCATCTTATGCTTCAGCTCAGGGGTCTGCTTTATGAAGTTTACCCAGACTCATTGTGAAATGGCCTCATGGAAAAAAGGAACAAACAGAGAGTTTAAGATCAGGCAGGGTTTAGGTTCTGACCACATTACTCTCTGCTCAATGTCTCTCTGCATCTTGAGCACCCAGTCATCACTACACACAGTAAATCCCTACCCCAGGATAGGATCATGTTCTCAATTTGGGATTACAGATCAGAATCCACCCCTTCCTATTTTAGAAACCCAAGGCCCAGAGAGTGCTAGTAATGGGCTCAAGGTCACCCAGCCAGTTACTGACACAGACAGGAATATAGCCCAGTGTGAGGATGGTCCTGGTTCCCTGTCCCACAGTGTGTGCATCCCCAAAGTTTCACCACCTGGCTTAGCCCCACCACAGACTTGGGAACCAATCTTCTCTTTCCGGGAGGGAATGTGGCTCCCCAGGTCATTATTTCAGGGGCTCAGCCCTGATGCATGTGGATGCTGGTTCAGCTCAGGCCTTGGACTCCAGTTTTAGTAGTCACATTTATGTACTCATTCGCCCATTCAGCCTCACCTTGGGCATTTCTTCCTCTCTGAAGCCGTCCCCGACATTGCCCACGCCCCTGTCCCTATTCTGTACATCTACAAGGCCCTGTGTTTCCTGCATGTAAGCATCTATCATATCATGTTGATATAGCGGGAGACCCAGGAAGGCAGGTGCTGTCTGTGTCGTCCCCCATCGTGTTGCTCCATTATGCCCCTTGCCTGATGTCTGCTGAGTACTCAATTGATGGTTATTAAATAAGTGAACTATTAATCACTTACTGTGTGTCTGGAGTGATGCTAGATGAATAAGGTGGTCTTGGCCCTCAAGGAGCTCACCACAGTGTGGGAGAGGTAAGTGGCAGACACACAGGGTTAGGACGCACATGAATGCCGCCGTAGCAGG